TTCATTAACCTGAAACCAGTGTGCAGATCTACTGCAATCAGCATGAAGTGTGAACGACATCCAGATTCTCAACACCAGTGCCAGTCAAGTCAGTGCTTCCATGTGGTTCAGAGACTTGGCTGCACGTTACGAAAAGCACTTCTAACAAACTACAGTTATTCATCAACAACTGCCACATACGCTCAATCAATACTGAAGATCAGATCAGATCAGATGGCCAGAATAATGAGAATAAGCAACAAGAAACTCTGCCTGACAACCAACCAGCCAACCAACCAACGAAGAAACCATCACCCTACAAATATGCAGAAGAAGTGAGTGGAGATGGATTTGATTGGGCATACACTGAGAAGACCGATTGTGTACATCACGCATCAGGTTAGTTGGTCGAGTGGAATCCAAGGGGTAAACGACGAGTTGGGTGTCTGAGGTGAGGGTGACATGTAGGAGATGGAATGAGGAAGAAATGAGAGCTTGTGGGTAGTGGTGGAGCTAGGTTGGAAAGACTGGAGGGAAGAGAGTGTAATGGTGAGGTGCTACTGAATCCGTGTGTTCCACTAGGAACCCAAGGGAAGAATCATAAAATAATAATAAAATCAGTGTGCAGATCTACTGCTCCGCACTCCACTCCACTCCACACAGCATACAGCATGAACAAGATTCAGGTTACCAGCACTAATTCAGTCAAGGAAGTTAGTGCTTCCGTGTGGTGGTTGACAGACTTGGCGCGTTACGAAAAGTATTTCCAAGAAAATATGAAAGACATACATTATCAACAGCTGCCGCCTACACCTACGCCTACTTTCGATGGTGAAGATGAAGATGAGATGGTGCGAAAGAATAAGCGGGTGGGAACTTTGACCAACCAACCAACCCCAATAAGATCAGTAATGTAGAAAGTCACTCGGGTATTGCAATGCATGCTTCGAAATCCAACGAGACATTATGGTATGATGAAACCACTGTAAGTTCAATATAGTTAGATGAATGGAGAGAGAGACTGATTAGTGAATCTTTGTTCATTGAATCAACAGCCAACATATGTACCTATACCAGTGCCCAAGTTTCACACCTATATTAAAGAAACATTTGAGTTATAGCTTTCTATAGCGTTGAGATATTTGTCATCAATTCAACTCATTCGCAGTGTTAAACAATCTGAACTGCAAGATATTTTGCATCATTTACTTCGAAAATGTGATTAGGAACGAAAGTATCCATCTTGGTGACTAAGAGTGTAATGTAGGATGCACATTTTGTCCTATTTGGGACTCATCAGCTGAATATGTTCCCACTCCGGTAAGGGATGTTGTTCCCACTGAGACTGGAACCCAGTACCTTTCAGAGCGACAGAGAGTTATCCACTAAGCCACTGAGGCGTTATAGCCGTCTCTTGCGTAACTGGTATCAGTTTTTGTAATCATACTTGTAATTTCCTGTTGCTATATAGGATCAAATTGCTCTACCTCTCGTTGGTGGATAAACTCTCATGTGAATCTTTCGATACTGCCAGATGTTCATAATGTTACATTCATCTTGGTAACTAGTAGTGAAATCTAGGACATATATTTTGTCCATCTGCCAACAAAGGTCAAGAAATTCAGACAATTATAGCAACGAGAAATTACAAGTCAGTGCTTCTATATGGCTCAGAGACTTGGAGCGTTACGAAAGGCATTTCCAACAAATTGCAGACATTCGTCAACAACTGCTTACGCTGGCGCATTACTGAAGATCAGGTCGCCAGAAAAACTCAGCAACAAGGAACTCACTCTGTCCGGCAACGAACCAATGAAGAACCTATCACTCAACAAGTATGCAGTAGGAGAAAGTGGAGATGGACTGGACACACACTGAGAAGTCCGACTAGGGACATCACGCTCCAGGCTAGTTACTCAAGTGGAACCCCGATGGGAAGTGACGAGTTGGGCGTCCGAAAGTGACATGGAGGAGATAGTGCGACGATGAAATGAGAGATTCTGGGCAGTCGTGGCGACAGGTTCAAAAGATTTCAGAGAACAGAGAACAGACGTGCTACTGAAGCTCTATGTTCCATTAGGAACCCAAGGGATAAATAATAATAATAATATAACGACAGCAACAACAGAAATAAAAACTTTAACATCAAATCAACAGGTGAAATTATACATAAATCCATTAATACATAAAAAGTGTATGGTAATAGTTAGTAAGAAAGCAGAACTACTTTTAAAACAAGTGAATAGTTAGCACACTAAAACATTTTAACAAAACACACAAATCATACATACACATATGTGTATAGATGCATACAACAGTTAAAATGAACGCCAGTATTCACAAAGCTATGGAAAAGGGGTACCTTAATATCTAATCGATGAGTGCCAAACTGTTCAACTAAGGATAAGTTTTTTAAAGTTCAATATACCTTTTAAATAAAATAATATACGTTTGAACAGAATAAAGTGGTCATCACATCGACTTAATGAGTTTCAATTCTTTATTTTATTGAATGATTATTGAAACTATTTAAGATAGTTACGATTTGGCAGACTGGTGTTATTGATTATCATTATTATTTGTCCCTTGGGTTCCTAGTCGAACATAGGGCCTCAGTTGTACGTCACCATTTCACTCTCTTCTCTTCAGTCTTTCCAACCTAGATCAACCACTGCCCACAAGCTCCCATTTCTTCCTCATATCATCTCCTCCATGTCACCCTTACCTCGGACACCCAACTCATCGTTTCCCATTTGAGTTCCACTCGATGACCTGACTTAGCCTGGCCTGGTCTGGCATGTGATGTCTCCAGTCGGCCTTCTCAGTGTAAGTTCAATCCATCTACACTTTCTTCTTTGCGTATATTTGTTGGGTGAAAAGTTCTTGGTTGATTGGTTGGTTGCCAGGTGAGAGTTCCAACTTGCTTATTCTTTCTCACCATCTCATCTTCATCTTCACCATCGAGAGTAGGCGTAGGCGTGGGTGTAAGTGGCAGCTGTCGATGATGTATGCCTTTCACATTTTCTTGGAAATGCTTTTCGTAACGCGCCAAGTCTGTCAACCACCAGACGGAAGCACTAACTTCCTTGACTGAATTAGTGCTGGAAACCTGAATCTTGTTCATGCTGTATGCTGTGTGGAGTGGAGTGCAGTGCAGTGCAGTGCAGTGCAGACTTGTCTTGCTGTCTTTCCGATCCTCTCAGCTTTGACATCGCCATCTGTGCCTATGTCGCCTGTAGTTGCCTATGTAGGTAGTCAGTTAGGTGGACAGGTGAGAGAGATAAGTTCGTTTAGATTTCTGGCGTTGATGGTGATTTGTGCTTGTTGTTGGTTGGGTATCTTCATCATATGTGTCTTCTCTACGTTCATCTGATACCGTGTGGTAACTTAAGGCGAAATGAAAAAATAGGTTTTACCAAGATTCCTTTCAGTGGTCTCCGGGTTATCGACTCGTCGCTGTATCAGCTGAGTTACAACACAAAGATGCTGACGACGTCTCAATATCGCTTCAGTTACAAAGACTTTCGCTAAGATGTCGTATGAGTCAACGAATATCCTATGTAATATCACCAATGGTGATTACAACGTTTCCGCCTTTCTAATTCTGTCGCATTTGAACCAAGATGACAAGATCTGACTGTTAAGTCTACTGAAATAATCGTAAACAATGAGTCACATATCAACTAGGCAAAATCGTCAAACCATGTTGGAACTTGGTTAAAAGCTGGCCCTCGTAGATCACTCTGTAAACCACCCAACTGGTAACTTGAAAGCTACTAGTTCGAATTGTGATAACTTGAGTTTTCATTTCATATCCAGATATCACCCAAGTATTTGTTACATCAGTTTTTGAAATAAAGCAAACAATGTGAAACTAAAGTGTATACATAAAATCTTATATGCATTGCGCCAAAAGTGGTTATTTTTTCCACAGATTATACTGCATAGTGTAAAACTGATCGAAAGAATATTAACTACCTTTCAGTTCAATTAGAAGAATCAACTACAAACTATGCATTCATACTAACTACAAAACTGTAATACAACTGAACTTGACTTTTGATCATAATTGAAAGAAATTAATGAGTGAAATAATCAGAACACTGATAAATTTGCTCAATTAGTTTGTATTGTGTTTGATACACTCTTATAAACCAGTGAAAGTAAATTTTTAGATAACAATCCATGTTGTTAAGGGCATATTCAAGGTATTTACCTTAGCTAAATATTTCAAATATGATCTCATATACCCATAGTTGAATGTATATAACACAGAGTGGACACTTGAACAATGAATGGGCCTCAGACTTCACCCCTGATCATCTTTCAGTTACTTGGTAAATAGAAAAAGAGGTAAGGTAACATAATATACGTTGGAATTTCAAAATGCACACAAAATATGACAATTTATATTTCCGATGATCTTGACACGATTTCTAGGCTCTTCTAGAATAGTAACTCGCGTTGATTTTCACCTCTTCAATTAATCTGATATTTACATGGTTCAAGTGTTTTCTTTTCTCGAAATTTCAATGCAAAACGACTGATTGTGAACAGATTGAGAGATTAAAAGTTTTTTTTAAAAATTTTGATAATCTTAGTCCACACTCTTATATGATCGTTAGAATTAGGACAGTTCAAGAGGCCGACTGCATATTCCAACGACTGTTATATGGATAAAGGAGATGATATATCACTAAAAAGTTATTTACAACTATTTATTTGTCCCTTGGGTTCCTAATGGAACATAGAGCTTCAGTAGCATGTCTCCAATGAGCTCTGTTCTCTGAAATCTTTTGAACCTGTCGCCACGACTGCCCAGAATCTCTCATTTTATCGTTGCACCATCTCCTCCATGTCACTTTCGGACGCCCAACTCGTCGCTTCCCATCGGGGTTCAACTCGAGGGAATTAAAAGGTTAACTTTATTAAACTAAAAACTACTATGATGCATTAGAATGCTAAATTAAACAGCAAGAATGTATAATTCAACTACTATCATAACTAGAGAAAAAAATTACCAGATCTGCGTCTTCACTTTTCATAATTGATGTAAGTAATAACTCTAAGGTTGAGAAATCACCAGTAACTAAAAAATCTGTTAGAAAAAAAATTTAGAATATTGACAAAATTTTAGTTGATCATTTGTTTATTCTAAGTAATTTGAAACAATTAGTTCCTGTAATAAATTTCTATAAGGCTATTAGAAGAAGATGAAGATTATCTGAACAATATATGATTGATGTATATGCGCAATACAACCTCGCCTGGTTGACTAGTTCACTAGTTACTAGCAGGTCCTAAGCCCGGGTAAAGAAGGAAGGTTGGGCATAGGGCTAGCAACCCTACCGCGTAAAACAAATATAACCGCTAAACAAACTTCAAAGCACAAACAAAATATAAAACATGAAAACAAACTTATTCCCCGCTGGAATCGGAGAGGCGAAATGACGCCAGTTGGTGAAAGCCTTCGGGAAGCCAATTGGCCGATGTGTCTTCTCTCCCTCGATGAAAGCGAAAGTAAGGGTGGGGACATGGAATGTCCGTACGATGTTTGAACCCAGCAAGGCAGCCCAGATTGCAAATGAGATACATGCTACTGAAGCCTTATGTTCCATTAGGAACCCAAGGGACCAATAATAATAATAATAATATGCGCAGTACAACATTTCGAACAATCTGATCCACCACACATTTACTTGTCTCAAGTCAATTTATATATGAAAATGAAGGGAGAATGAAAGGTTAGGTATAATGAATATGAAAAGGTTTTGACACTAGTCGTGGTAATATAATCAGATTACCAAGGCTTACCAAGATAAACTAAGTGAAACAACAAATTGTTTTTGTACGCATACTGGGGGCTTAAGTTTATGAATGGCTAACGCTTCGGCAAACTTCAGTATGCGCCCCTAATTATTCCTGTATAATATCATGAAAGCTGTTTTCATATTAACCCTATGGTTCATTTCAACGAAGGTGTTTTGCTATAGATGACAATGGATGTCTGTCACCTGCATTTATCAATGTTTGTGTGTTGAATTACTTTTCAAGTCATTTGGGTATATGTTCACCCACCCTAGTCTACACTGAATGATTACTCCACCTTATGTATATGTGTCCACACATACTTGTAAATTGGCAAATACAGTCAGATGCGAAGTAATCATTTATGCGAGGTTGAGGTTTGTAGCGAAGCCGGTGTTGCGTCGTCACAACAAAGAACTGCACTGAATACCAGATCTTAATCTCTGTTTCAATATCATACTACTTGTTTCCTCTCTGTATGGTAATTTAAGAAATATGTTTTTCTTCGAACCCGAGGAAACTATAGGCTTTTCATAATCATTATAACTAACCTTTCATTCTCCCTTCATTTTTATATATAAATTGACTTGACAAGTAAATGTGTGGTGGACCAAATTGTTCGAAATATCTATTGCGCAAATACATCATATTTTTCAGATAATCTTCGTCTTCTATGAAGTGTTTTCTAAGTAAGATTAAATCATTTTGAATATATGGTTTACTGTATAAAATTCATACCATATTCTAAGGAAAACTGAGGTAAGAAAATCAGTTACGTCATAAAAGATACAGAGATTATTTCATCATAACGGTAGCGTAATTTTGTGACATTACTTCATAGAAAATATTAGTTTTCTCACTGGTCATAATTTTGATGACATTCTGACATATAATGGTAAACGTTCTTGGCATTACTTAATTTTCTTTAAACTATTGTTATTGTCATTATTTGTTACTATTAACCCGGTGGTCACTGGTTCGAATCCGGTCGTGGTCCAAATTTTCATCTCACCTTCAATCATCACCCAGTATCAATAAAATTAGTCTGCCAAACTACGGCTATCTTAGATAGTCAAATCATAATCAATATGATGCTCCCCCTCTCTGATTCAGTTAGATGTGGATTGGGATGAGAAGTTCTGACTAGGCAGCTACTGTGAATACGGTCAAGCGGTAGTAATGCGTCATGAATTCACATGTTAGTTGAGCAAAACCCTTGGTGACTTAAGTGAAATAAAATTCTGGTCAGCAGTCGGACCTCATAGATCAGTTGGTAGAGCAGCAGGTCGCTAACCCGGTGGTCACTGGTTCGAATCCAGTCGCGATCCAGATTTTCCTCTCACCTTCAATCATCACCTAGTACAAATTATTATTTTGCACATAAACTCATAAAATCAATTACTTCATTTCAGATGGTACAAGTCAAATGATCCAACAATAAAATTACGCCTGTTGTCAATAGCACTGGCAACTAGTATGTACTTTGGGTTACTAATAAAATTTCTCACCAGACACATTATTTCATTCTTTTCCCTTTCAGTTGGTTTTTACATTTGAAATATGTCCTCTAAACATGTGAATAACTATTGTGTATTTCAAGTTGTTATTCATCGAAGACTGACATCAGTTGGAGGAACAAAGGAAACCAGGGAGCACTGGACAGCTGTTTCGTCCATCTAGTATGGGACTACTCAGCAGTGCGCACCCACGACCCCACCAGCAGGGATCGAACCCGCGACCTTCAGGTTCCGCGACCAGCGCGTTACCATTGAGCCACTGGGTCAGAATCCAATGCTCCATATTTCCAACTTCTGTTAGCTCACGATATAGCGCAGACCGCCACCCAATGTCATCGTTGAGTATTTGTCCTCACGGCCATCAGGCTTTGACTCCACCGGTCACGACTTGTCATTGGAACTTCGGGAATACTTCTCGAAGCTAGTCACCAACGAGCACTAGTTCAATTAAATTTTGAGGGGTTGTGGAGATTTGTGTATTTTTAAAATATTCTCTGAATTTTAATAACAAAATGAAGAAAAAGTATCGTATTAGACAGAAATGAACTTTTAAGTACACAGAAATATATCCTATTTCTATTATTCTGTTGCTTATCTCGTATAGTACATTCTTCTACTGACTGAATAAACCACCACTAAACACCGGCGGCTAATCCACAACAAACTGGCTGTTCCACATAATTCTCTTTAATACTGTTGGTATAAACATCATTCACATGCAACAGTTGTTTTGTTTGTAAGTATTGTTTTGGTTGTGAATCTGTTACAATGTTATATGCTGAAAATGCTTTGCCCTATCAAACATATCGTTAGGAACAAAGCTATTATTATTACTATTATTGTCATTATTATTATTATTATTATTACTATTCTTAGACAGGCAGACGACACCCAGACCTTCGCAATTATTAAGAATAATCTCAAAACGATTACACAGTGGTTGAAGGTAAAACATATTAAACAGATTTTCAAATAGTATGATATGGAAATCTTGGAGATAACAGTGATGAACAATAACTTCCAAAGCTTTGATACTTGGGATTATGGGAATTAAAGACATTGACACATTAACCAATTATATGAGGCAGTTTTTGATGATAAATTTATACAGAGCCCGTGAAGAAATTTTAAAGTTGGTACTGATAATGTAAACCGGTCAGTGAAAAGAAGTCATGAAAATAAGCCATTTTAGTCGTTAATTAAAAACTTACTGCAAACTATTGTTTCATAGCGACTGCTTGATTAAAAGTATTTGTTAAACAGAAAGATATATATATAATATAGATAATTCATGATTACTTTGACCTTCTGAGATACTCTTGGAAAGAGCTAACACAGGTGGCTGTCATACCTCTTTTGCCCTAGTAAGTAGCGCTTTGGCGTTTGAAGCCATGGGTACGAGGTTCGAATCCCCGAGGAAACAATATCATTCGCAGGAGTGCAAGTACATCCGGCTGACAAGTTCCAAATAGGATGAAATACGCTTCCTAGATTCTTCTGCTAGTTACAACTCAGTAAAGTACAATAATTAACATTAAAGTAGTATCGAGGCATCCGCGAAGGTTCCATATGCCAACAAGGGTAAAACAATTCGATCGAACAAAACGACTAGGAATTACAACCATTTGTATATATATATATATATATATATATATATATATATATATATATATATATATATATATATATATATATATAAGACTTTTTCAAAGTCGATGAAGCTAAGGTGAGGTAGAGAGTTGACTGCCATTCTATACTCTGTTCTATGATGATTCGTAGTGCAGCGTTGCAATTTGATCCGCATATGATTTGTTCTTCCTGAATCCACTCAGCCAGCCTGTTCCGGTCATAATTTTGAATCCATAGCATACCTTAGTCTCTCCAGGATGATGCGGCTTAATATTTTGCTTAAGGTGGACAGGAGTGGAGCATGCTTCCTCGCCAGTCCTTGCAAAGGCTTAGGTCTCCCTTTTCGGGAATTTGACAAAATAGCCCTTCTTCCAATCTCCAGGTACCTTTATTGCTAAACCTTCCAAACCTTCTGCAGTAGCAATGTGAGCACGTCCACTGTTGTCTCTGCGTCTGTTTTCAGTGCTGCTGGCAAAACTACATCTCGTCCTGCTCCTTTCACAGATTTCAGCAGTTTTATGGCATTCAGGACTTTTTTCGCAGGGCCTGTGTTCACTGGTAGTTCTGTCGTTGTTGGTGGTATTTCTGGATGAGTTGCAGGTGGTGGTGGATTCAAGAATTTTTTGAAGTGGTCAGCCCACTGCCTTTTTTCTTTCTCCTCTTCGCTAACTAGGTTTCCTTCACTATCTTTCATTGGTTTCATCTGCGTTGACCTCTTCCTGGATAGTAACCAGGTTATTTGACACAGTGTTGGGAAGTCACTGTCTCTACTACCTGCGGCTTGTTCTACTTCACTTGCAAGTGTGTCGTAGAAGTGTCCACTGTGTTTGCGCACACCCTTCTTCACTTCTTTGTCCAGCGTAGTGTTTTATAGGTTGTAATCAGTTCCTCTTTTCGTTGTTCATCACTGCACTGCACTGGTTCATCTTCTGCTTCACCATCTTCCGCTCCCCACTCTATCAGCTTCCATGTGTCCGTCGGAATCCGTTCCTTGTCTTGTTTCCTCTTTCTTCCTAGTACGGTTATGCAGGTTTCTTTCCACATCTCTTTCAAGAAGTTTCAGTGTTCTTTCAGGCCCGATCCTTCAGGGATGTTGCTCAACGTCACCCATTTTGTTCTGATGGCTGACTTGAAGATGTCCTTTGTAGTTTTGTCCATCAGTTTACAAATCAAGAAAAAATTAGTTAAAAATCGACTTCTACGCTAAATATCTAATATTTAATGTCACAACGAGAATGATGATGTGTTCAAAAAGACTATCTCCTCGAAGTGAACGGGTATCTTTAACCTTCCTGGAATAATTGACACACTCAGTTCATAGAATCAAACGATACTGATATTTCAGTACAAATTATACTTTTGAACTATATTCGTGAAACAAAAAGACAGAGAGAATCGGAACATCTTATTCCTTACTGAGTATGAAGTGTTTGACGAGAAAAGCATAAATGTTGTATATAGCTGAGGTAGTTACACAAATGTGTAAATATGAAAGCATTTCATCAGAATATGCATCAAATTCTCTTAATCTTACCATACTGAACAACAGATTTGATTGGTTTCAATAATGCTTCAATGACTAAGGTATTATTATAATGGATTTTATAAATCGAATATAAAATATCAAAGCCACAATCCATTGTAGCGATTCCTTTTTGTTTATTGATAAATTGTAAAGCGAATTCCTCTGAAATAAACCGTAAGAAAAAGTTTCGTATGTTAAAAAAAACGCTTGTGACTAAATGTAAGGATGATAAAGTACCGCTGTGTATAATAGTCAATAGATCATACATATTTTTTGGCATAACTACATTGCAATGAAGGCACGCTGGCAGGTATAATATAAAAAAACACAACTATCTTTTCATCCCATTAACATGTACATGATTATGTACTGGTGTTCACTCTAAAGTCTAAACACAATATTCATCGGTGTTTTCTCATCAACTAAGCTACAAACAAGATCCACTTTTCTACGGATCCCATGGAGTTTAATCTTTCTTAATGTTTAATATAAACAATGAAATGGGTTACTCGTTATTAGCCATGTAGTGTATGTTGAAAATTTTGAGGGAGTTGTGGAGATTTGGAAATATTTCAAGTTGTTATTCATCGTAGACTGACATCACTTGGAGGAACAAAAGAAACCAGGGAGCACTGTACAGCTCTTTCGTCCAACTAGCATGCGACTCCTCAGCAGTGCACACCCACGACCCCACCAGCTAGGGACTGAACCCGCTACCTTCAGGTTCTGTGGCCAGCGCGTTACCATTAAGCCACTGGGTCAGAATTCAGTCGTCCATATTTCCAACTTGTGTCCCATACTAGGACGAAACAGCTGTCCAGTGCTCCTAGGTTTCCTTTGTTCCTCCAATTGATGTTAGTCTATGATGAATAACAACTTGAAATATAGTTTATGTGTTCGTTGGAGTTGTCATCCATTGAAAAATTGTGATTCAACCTAACCCCTTATGAAAAATAATCCCGTTTCTAAATTTCAATAGATTCACATTTTTGTGCTATATGGTGTCTTCCTTAACATACAGTTTTTCTATGTATAGTAATGATGGGTAGTGGCTAGCAGTAGAATCCAGGATGTGCATTTCGCCTTATTTGGGACTCACTCGTCAGCTGGATGTACCTGCCTCCCAGTGAGTAATGCTCTTCCCATTGGGATTCGAACTCTGGAGTGATCGCTTGAAACGTCAGAGCGTTATCCACTACACCACCGAACCACGATAGTCACTTCTTGTGTGAAGGGTATAGTTTTAGTATTATTGCTTGTATTACACCATCGTTGATTGGACCAAATTGATCAATATCTGTTGACATATGGGCTCTTATGCGGATGCCTCGATATTGCCTGTCTTTTTAACTATGTATAGTTATGATAATTTTCCTCTGATGACTAACGTAAAATTACAATCGGCAAGAAATGAAAAGTAAATGTTCCTACTGAAAGTTATCTCCCTTAATAACACTAATTTTTGTCAACACTCCAGTTGAATGTTTGAAAATGAAATATCAAGTGGAAACAAGTTTATATTTAAGGCAACTGAAAATTGGAAACACCTAATCATCCTGCAACATCTTTAAACATATCTTTATGTCTAGAATATAAGTAATAACACCAAACGGGGTGAAGAAAAACGAGTGGATATATAGATATTAGCTAATTGAGAAATCATAATGAAACTCATATGTATTTTATATGTAAAGGTAATCGATAACAGGCCACCTGCTTAGTAACTGGATAAAAACATAAAGAAACGAACTACTTCCTACCTTATCACAGTTAGCCGAAATTTTAAATAGCTGTCTATCGAAGAGTATCAAGGGTACCTTTTATTCTATTAGACTGAAGTTGATATTCTGGAGTTGTCATTTGATTCAACAGTATGTGAAGGATAGGTTACCGCGTATATATACATCTACTTGTATCTATAAGTTCACATGCTTCTGTCGTACTGACTATATTAAACTTTATAAATCGGCCTACCAAAAACGTGTTGCGGAACACTTCCCGGTTTGGCTTACCAAAGACGAGCAAAACAAAACAACTACATCCATATGTGAACACTTAGTGGAGTTAGATCATTCAGCTCCTCAAGTTTCATTTTTCAGGTAATTTACAAAGTTAAATGAATCTACTCCACATGTCCATCTTTCCACCATTTACCCATAAATTAAGCAATAGCTGTTTTGATACTTGTAGTTTACCCTTTGATGTACAGGCTTGAATTGCTCGATTTCTGTTAGTAGATGGGCTCTTATGCGAAACCCTTGATACTACGGGATATTTGTGATGCTGCATCCACCTTGTTTGTAAGCAGTGGAATCCAGGGTGCACTGTTCGTCCTATTTGGGACTCGTCAGCTGGGTATACTTGCACTCCAGTGGTTGTGGTTCACAGTGAGACTCGGAATCGGTACCCACTACTTCAAGGGCCACTGGGGCATGATAGCCACTCCTTGTGCAAAGTGTATCAGTTGTTGTTTTATTACTTGAAACTTCCCATCACTATACAGAGTCGAATTGCTGGACTACTGTTGACAGATAGGCTCCTATGCAGGTACCTCGATAATGTAATGGTGGCTCCTTCTCAAGTAGACTTCTGGATAATGCTTTGGCGTTTGAAGCAACGGGTTTAAGTCTCAGTGGGAACAACATCAGTCACTGAAGTGCAGGTATATCCGACTGACGAGTCCCAAATAGGACATGTTTAGCATCCTAGATTCCACTGCTAATCACCAAGATGAAAGCCAAAACTATGCATTCAAAAGGGTTCTTTGAAACTTCTTTCTCTACTTTTAGTCTGTTTGTTAGAAATATCACACAGTGAAGGGACAGTATCATTTACTGGATAACGTTTCGGACACAATTTGTTGTCCATATTCATATCAGGTAACTAACTCCACAACTTCGAGACAGAGTTCAATTAGTTCTCATTATCTCTCCTTCTCTGTGATGACAAGGACAGTAGAATTTTCCATATATCTGGGACAGGTACAGAATCATTTCGATTGCCGCATATATTTGGTGTTAATTCGATAAACAAAGATTCAATCGGTTATCACTCTCTCCCTCCACCCAACTAAGTTAGTTTTCAACACTGTCGCCCTATCCCACCCTACTATGTGATTGTGTGTCATCGCATGCAGAGCTATAGCCGAGATCTTTTCTAGATTTCTTATCTTATTATTCTTTCTCTACATCGGCCTTTATTTTGACTAGTTTGCCAAATTGATTTCACTTCAGTTTAATTATCATCATTTTTACTTCTTTAAAAGCACATGATACTTATTTCACCCCCTGAAATCAATTCGTTCTTTATTCAGTGACCCATTTTCTATTTCTTCCACTTGAACAAGTCCCACCATTATAAACACTGATTATATCATGACTGAGCAACATTTTAATGCATTTATCTGATACCTTATCGATAATAATAAAGTCATTGAAAAGAAATATTTTTTCGCTGATAAAAATCTTTTTAGAAGTAGTATTCATCATCGACTGACATCAGTTGGGGAACCACTGAAAATCTGGGAGCATTAAACACCTGCTTCGTCTAACTAGTATGCAACTCCTCAGCAGTACGCACCCAAGACCGGGCTAGGGACCGAACCCAGGACCTTCAGGTTTCACGGTGAACGCATTAAGCATTCAGCCACTAAGTCGGTTTCCAATGGTTCACAATTTTCAACTTCTGTCAATTCACGACATAACATGACTATCACCCAAGGTCTTCAGTTAGCATCCACTTCACTTCCGACTGGTTGACTCCACAGTTCACGGCTTCTCATTAGACCTTCGTGATATCCATCTGGAAGTAAGTGACTAGTGAGCACCATAGAGTAATGTATTTTTTGAGATGAATGAGGATTTTTTAACTTAGGTGATAGCCGCGCTATGTCGTGAATTGACAGAAGTTGAAAATTGTGAACCATTGGAAACCGACTCAGTGGCTGAATGCCTAATGCGTTCACCGTGAAACCTGAAGGTCCTGGGTTCGATCCCTAGCCTGGTCTTGGGTGCGTACTACTGAGGAGTTGGATACTAGTTGGACGAAACAGGTGTCCAGTGCTCCCAGATTTCCAATGGTTCCCCAAATGATATCAGTGCATGATGAACACTATTTCTAAATTAAAAAATCCCTATTCATCTCAAAAATCGTTTTGTTTATACCCAATATTTTTCACTGCTTTTCAACTGACTTACATAAACTCTACACTCGTTATTTTGATAAGAATCCATTGTGCTGTTTTATATTCTTGTAAGAAAAGTAGCTGGAGAAAAACTCTAAGTAAACTGCTCAAATTAAGTGTTTGAAAACTTTCATTTTCACATCATAACTAATTGATGTAAATTGAAATCTCAGTCTTATTCTGATATATACTACAATCAAAATGTGACGAATGTCATTGATTTTACGTGCTTACTTTTATCACTAATCAAATTGTTGTTTTCTGTAGGACTTTGAATTTAATATACAATATTCATAGAAATTATTGCGTATGGATTCATGCAACCTGATAACCTAACGGTTAAACTATACATAAAATTTCTAACTATTTTTCATCCAATTTCCCTTACTAACATCAATTTTACTAGATAGACAACTTACGAGAATTTCTATTTAAAGCCTTGTGCACACTCCTAACAAAAAGCCAAGTAGCCTCTTTCACCTATCTAGGCAGCACTGTTTCAACTACAGGCAGCACAGACGAAGACGTCAAAGTTGGGATCGGAAAAGCAAGACAGACGTTCATCAACCTGATACCAATGTGGAGATCTTCTGCACTCAGCATAAAGCGTGAACAACATCCAAATTTTCAACACCAATTCAGTCAAGTTAGTGCTTCCATGTGGTTCAGAGACTTGGCGCGTCACGAAAGGCATTTTCAACAAATTATAGATATTCATCAACAACTGCCTACGCTGGCTCGTTACTGAAGTTCAGATGGCCAGCAAGAATAAACAACAAGAAACTCTGCCTGGCAACGAACCAAAGAAGCAAGAACCTGTCACCCAGCAAATATGCAGAAGGAAGTGGAAATGGATTGGATTGGACATACACTGAGAAGACCATTCGGGGACATCAGGCATCAGGCAAAGCAGTCGAGTGGAACCCAGATGAGAAACGACGAGCTGGGCGTCTGAAGTGAGGGTGACATGGAGGAGATGGTATGAGGAAGAAATGAGAGCTTGTGGTCTGTCGTGGAGTCAGGTTCAAAAGTTTTCAGAGAAGAGAGTGCACTGGAGATGTGCTACTGAAGCCGTATGTTCCACTAGGAACCCAAGGGACAACTAATGATAACAAAAAGAAATATAGTGTATAATTTGAAGGAAGGTCAAGGATCGATTCTATTACAAAGGGGCATATTCCAAACAAAATATAACATTTAACAAGACAGCATTTTTTACAAATATCTATTTAGGTCTAGTTAGAATTCACTGATTACATTTAATACTGTTGACTGTCAAAAGGCTGGGAATGGTAAACATGAATTTAAACATTTTCGATAAAGTGTCAACTAAGTATAATTCTTATAGAAAAACTAACTGAGAATAGTTAAGGGAACCAAAGCTTAATTTCTAGCATACATTATGCGAAAAAGCACACTAATAGTCCAGTTCATTAGACTTTCTTGTTTCTGCAATCCTCTGTAAAGATAATCAATATTCAACAATCAGCAGACTTTATGATGGATTCTGACAATTGTTACACTGTTGATAGCAGCTATACAATGACATAATTTCAAACAGAATTCAAAATGTTTACAATGTGATCAAGTCATCTGTTCATTAATACATATTTCCAGACTGTACAAAGGTGAGTTCATAGGGTTTTTTGTACACAAATAAATATTTACTGAATGGCTATTCAGTACACCTAATAGCTTAATGTTATGCCTTATTCAAATAGACCGGGACAGTGGAGAATATTTATAGCTCAGATGGATGGTCTTGGTTGTTTTGTATTCTCTAAGCTGTGTTGTCTAGTCCTGAAGATTTCATCGTCTTTGCTTTGATAAAGTGGTTTGTGATTGGTTATTTCCTTTGATTGTTGTGTCATTGACTGTACAGCCTTTCTTGTTGACTGTTCCTCTGCTTCACCTCTCACCTTTCTGTCGTTTATCATTCTTCTCGTTCGTTGGTAGATTGAGCCTATGTCTATACATCTACTGACTGCTGACTGACCTGGATGTCAAATTTCTAGGAATTCTCTGATATTCTTTATGTTTCCTGGGTTCGTTTCCTTTCAGCTTTAGGTGTTTGTCAGTGTGACTCACTAACTCATATAACTGCCAAATAGGATGGTACACATCTTTGATAACTAAACAGTACAAGGTAGAGATTTGTGTCTTACAGATAAATCTGATTTTAGCATCTAGATGACAAGCATCGTTGTGACATAGAAGCAACGGCATTCATGGATTTCCAGTCATTACTGACCAACTAATGAGACAGTGAAATACATTTATGAACAAAAATTGATTAAATGGGACTATGATTGAGATCTGTGATACAAGACTCTGAACGGAGTACCAAGAATGAATATCATGTCAACCAAACCATCTTTCTGAAATCAAAGAAGGCGTGTGACAGCTTGTGGATCGTTATCACTGAAATAACGGCAACCAGTGATGTTCATCAGAGATATCTAAATTTCCGTTTCTCATTTAGCCGTGTTATAGGTGTACTGACAAACTGAATACTGATGACCCTCAACTTCTCACGAATTGATTTAAAGTTATCCAGATGAAGTAATCTTGTTAGGCGAAGAAGCTTGCAAAAAAATAGTCTTTTGAATACCTTCAGCAAAATTTCAAGTAAATTTCATTTGCCTTGAATATAATTTATTCTTCAACTTCTGTTATGCATTGAATGTTAGTTTAAGAAAAAGGAGTAAAAGGATGGAGTGCATTCACAGTTTTACTCATCTAGAAAATTGTACCCACCATAACAGACTGGAGAGCAACTAATTTCATCTTGTCGAATCTTGAGGGCTGACCGAATCCTATCGATCATTTTTTGCAATGTGGCGTCCAAGCTAGGAGGCTCAGCGTCACGGTGAATATCAAGAGATGTTAGATGTTTGGAGGCAATCGGTTTTGTGCTCGTTGGCACTCGTCACCAAGGCATATCTCCTGCCTCGAGAGATTCAAATTTTCGTCATCCAGTATTTCAGTCACTGACGTCACCTCTGAGCTATTTGGGTTATGACTGACCTCCCGTAGGATTGTGTTACATACACTGAATGATCACTGGAGAGAAAGCAATTTCATGTTGTCTAGTTCTGTGTGCAACCACGCCTGGTTAACTAGTTCACTAGTTACTAGCCTGTCCTAAGCCCGGGTAAAGAGGAAAGGTTTGGCATACGGCTAGCAACCTTAACCCGGAAAATCAATCCAACCCCTACAGGAACTTCAAAGCAGAGACAAAATATAAAAAACTAAAACGAACTTATTCCTCGCTAGAGTCGGGGAGACGAAATGACGTTGGTTGGTGAAAGCCACAGCAAACCCAATTGGCCGATGAGCCTTCTCTTCTCTCGATGAAAGCCAAAATAAGAATAGAAACATGGGATATCCGCACCATGTATGAACCTGGCAAGGATGCCCAGATTGCAAATGAGATGAGGAGATATGGCAAAGAAGTGGTAGGAATCTGTGAAGAATCTGCAGATCGAATGGAAGTGGACTCTCAAAACTGTCAACTACTGAGGAGTCAATTATCTACTCCAATATTGTCACACAGACGACAACCACGAGAACAGCACACTGAGTTGTCCAGTGGCCATCATCATGTCCCCAACAGCATCGAACGCTCTCTCTGTCTCTCTCTCTCATACAGTGGGAACCAATCTCCTCCTCCAGGATCACCATCATGACAGCAAGATTCAACTCGAAAGGAGGGAGAGTCACAATGATACAATGCTACACTACACTACACTACAGTAGGCTACGCTATGCTACACTATGCACCTACAAATAATTCAGGTGAAGAGAAGAAGGAGGGATTCTACAGACAACTGTAATCAGTACAGGACAAGACACCACTCCAGTTGGTGACATCAAAATCCTAATTGGTGGAGTGATATGAATGCGAAAGTGGGAGTGGAGAACACAGGAAGAGAATTCATCATGGATCGAGAAGCATTTGGTGAAATGAAGGAGAATGTAGAACTGTTTGCAGACATCTGCGCATTTAATGACTTGGTGATTGAAGTCAGTGTGTGTAAACACAAGGTTATTCACAAGGCAGAGACATGGATTTCACCAGACACCAGGACGCACTACACTAGAAATCAGATCGACTTCATTTCAATGTGAAGAGAGTGGAGACGTCACCTTCTGGATACAAGATCAAGAAGAGGAGCAGATGTAGATTCACACCACTCACTATCTAGTATAATGAATTTTCAAAATCAGGTTGAAAGCTTTCACAGAAGTTAATGACAGACATCCAGAATGGAAACTGAGGGAAGAAACCAGAAAGGATATCTTCACGTCATCCATCGTAACAAAATGGTAGACATTAGGCAACATCCTTGAAGAAACCTGTGTGAATGAATACTGGAACTTTTTGAAAGAGATGTAGAGGGAAACCTGCATAACCGTATTAGAAAGAAAGAAGAAGCAAGACAAGGATTGGATCTCGACGGACACATGGAAGCTGATAGACGAAGGAAAGTAAGACAGCAAGACCAGCCTTCATTAATCTGAAATCGGTGTGGAGATCTGCACTCAGCATAACGCGTGAACAACATCCGGATTCTCAACGCCAGTCCAGTCAAGTCAGTGCTTCTATATGATTCAGAGACTTGGCGCGTCACGAAAGGCATTTTTAACAAATTACAGATATTCATCAACAACTGCTGCCTACGCTCACTCAATACTGAAGATCAGATCAGATCAGATGGCCAGAATAATGAGAATAAGCAACAAAGAACTCTGCCTGACAACCAACCAAGAATCCATCACCCAGCAAATATACAGAAGGAAGTGGAAATGGATTGGATTGGACATACACTGAGAAGACCATTCGGGGACATCACGCGATAGGCCAGTTGCTCGAGTGGAACCTAGACGGAAACGACGAGTTGGGCGTCTGAAGTGAGGGTGACATGGAGGAGATAGTGTGAGGAAGAAATGAAAGCTTGTGGGCTGTCGTGGAGCCAGGTTCATAAGATTGGAGAGAAGAGAGTGGAATGTCGACATGCTACTGAATCCTTATGTTTGACTAGGAACCCAAGGGACAAATAATAAAATATATTAATAGTTCTGTCCGCTGATAGGAGTCTGTCGATCATTTTACAATAGTAATTTTAATGTTATTTAGTTACTCCATACAAAGATCAGTAGAATTCCCTAGATTTTGAGACATTTCGACTGTCAACAAATTCTTCCCTAATGAATATAGTTTTTTCATTGTTAATGAAAAGGAGAAACAGCCAAAAACGATGACATTGGGTGGCGGTTTGTGCTATATCGTGAGCTAACAGAAGTTGGAAATATGGAGCATTGGATTCTGACCCAGTGGCTCAATGGTAACATGCTGGCCACGGAACCTGAAGGTCGCGGATTCGATCCCTGCTGGTGGGATCGTGGGTGCACACTGCTGGGGAGTCCCATACTAGGACGAAACAGCTGTCCAGTGCTCCCAGGTTTCCTTTGTTCCTCCAAATGATGTCAGTCTTCGATGAATAACAACTTGAAAAACGATATTGTTTTTTTAATATATTTTTATTGTAAGGAAGAAATAACACATCACTCACCTGATAAATGTAATACAACTTGTAAGCATAAACATATATTCCAGATTGTGTTTGGAAAATCTTTAAAATTCAGAAGCCCTTGTAATAACATTGGAATTAAACTGTTGTATTCCATAATATGCTTAACTGCTAGATCTTTAAATGTAAGCAAAAATATGAAAAGGTGATTTCTTTAAGTTTTCAAACTATAGAATGATTGAGTGAATGAATTAAAAGTAAACGATAGTAATAATCTGTTTGATTGTGACTAGAAGAGGTTGAACAATTCGATCAAATAAAACAAGGGAGAATTACAAGTATATTAGTAAATGCAATTACTTGTATTACACCGTCATTGATTGGACCGAATTGATCAGTCTCTATTGGTATATAGGCTCCTGTTCGGATGCCTCGATATTGCTTGTGTTTTAATTATGTATAGTAATGATGAGCAGTGGTTAGAAGTGGAATCCGGAGACTGATCAATTCGGTCCAATCAACGATGGTGTAATACAAGCAATAACACTAGAAAACTATACCCGTTACACAAGAAGTGGCTATCGTGGTTCGGTGGTGTAGTGGATAACGCTCTGACGTTTCAAGCGATCACTCCAGAGCTCGAATCCCAGTGGGAACTGTATCACTCACTGGGAGGCAGGTACATCCAGCTGACGAGTGAGTCCCAAATAAGACGAAATGCACATCCTGGATTCCACTGCTAGCCACTACCTATCATTACTATACAGATATTAGTGAATAGTAATAACTAATACACGTTGTACAGGAGGTAGCTACCAAGCCTCCTTGGCTTGCTGGATAACGCTTTGGTGTTTAAAGCGACGGGCACGGGGAAAAAAATCACTCATTGCAGTGGAAGTGCATCCAGCTGATGAGTCCCAAATGGGACGAAATGCGCACCCTGCCTTCCTCTGCTAGTAAAAACCAAGTAAATTAACATTAAGGCAGTATCAAGGCATCCGCATAGGACCTAATACATCAACAGAAGTCGAACAATTCGGTCGAGTAAAACAACGGTGAATTACATATATATCAGTAAACAGCAACAAATCATCATAGTTTAACATCATGAAGTACATTGAAAAGACAGTCGTCTTTTCAAGTAAAAGTGTATATGTTCATTTCAAATGGACCTTCGATGCTGAAAATAGAAAGGATCATTTACAATCACTTAACCTTATATATATATTTAAAATACGTGTAAGCTTTTATTAACAGTTATGAAGTGCAAAATACTTCGAAACTAATAATGGATATTGGCTGCTATTGGAATCTAAGATGTACGTTTCGTTTTATTTAGGACTTTTAAGCCGGACATATCAGCATCCCATTAACGTTTGAACACAGAGTTATCGCCTAGGTTAATAAGTTTGGATAACCATTCTTTAAACAGTGGATACAGTTTGACGTTTGTTTACTTATATTATGGTTTAAAATATGTTCCTTTTCTCTGAAAAGCAAACAATTCGTTTTTTCTTTTCACTTACCACAAAGTTCTTTTATCAATTAGAATATCTCAGGTTGCCTATTTTAGTAGAATCACATTCACAGACAGTGTTCATGACTATATTTGAAGAAAGACTTTACTTCAAGAAGGTTGAAATCAAAGATTTTCGATTAATCTAAGACTATATTTAAAAATACTCAACCAGTGTTGGTACCAAGGTTTCACTGAAGGAAATCTCTCCAAATCATTCATTTTCAAGGCCATTGTGATAATAACATCCACTATTGTTCTTTCTTCTGATTTGGTCAGCTTTGGCTAAATTCTCCAGTTTTCTTTGGATATAGTGTTAAATGAATGAACTATATTTTGGTCTACTGGTTGGTAAACACTTTCGTCGTTGGGTAATTCTTGTGCCTTTTGAACACCATCCATTCCCTTCCTTTATCCTATGATAATAGTACAATTTCCCTGTCTATCGTTAGCTACGGAAGTCCATTTCATTCTTTTTTGTTTAGTAAATGTAGATTTTCTTTGATTTTCATTAGTGGTTAAACTAATTGGTGTAGTTCCTGTTGTTGCTCAACATTTAGTCATGAGGTTTTTTTCGACGTAAACTCCTAAGAAGAGTAGATGTCTAACTTTTTTACATTTCCGGTGTTGTAGTTTAATCACTTCCGAAGTATATTCTAAACCATGGTGGATAGTAAACTTTCAGGAAGATTCACAATGCATGTATCTTTTAACTCCTTTTCTTTTGGTTATGACAGCTTCAGTAACTTATTATTTAACTTTTCCCTCTTTTTCTCATCTTTGTTCTAAGTTGTTATACTGATAAGTGTTGACAACTTACTTAACGTATCTACTACCATGATTGGTTCCAATATTTGTTGTTGAGCTGCGATTACGCTTTTGCATTTGACTAATCTTCCGTGTGCATCCGAGACGTACCATTCTACTGCCACATTTTTATGCAGTCTTCCGTCCATTAAAACAGTTTTCAAGTGGTCTATATCTAATGCATTTTTTCTACGATGTTCCACACTAAACATTGGAGCAGAAAGAAAAGCTAGATTCTGATGGAAGCTCTCCCACTTCTGATCACAAAGAAATGTGTCACGCTCGAAAACGTTTGAAATGATGGAAAAGATTTGTAGCTCAGGATGAGGATAATGATAATTCTGTATCCTCTGAGATTTAGTATTTCGTCATGAAAGATATACAAACAAAGAAAAGTAACACACATAGGACTGCCAGTATCAGGAATGGTTGTTGAAGTAGTGGTGCAGCGGTTGCAATCATTATTCATCAAGGTAATTCAAGTAATTCACTTCAAAAAGAAGGAGGAATCTGATAACAGAATTCCCTTACTAAATGTACTCATCAGCATAACACATAACAGGACGTAACAAACTCAAGTGTAAAGTCATACACAGTGGACAAATTTTAAATTAAAACACCAACCAACCTGAAGTTCATTAAAAATATCGAGTACAGACACTATTCTCAAGAGCCAAAACACACTGCCGCACTATGGTACTATGGAAAGCCGAAGAAAAATATCTGTACAAAGTTAATGATTAACTACTCAATTGTATCATTAATTCACCTTTAATGATTTGTATATTAACCAAACGGAAGACAAGGCAATTACCTAAAACCAATAACCATGTTACTCCATCCTATAGCAAAGATGCCTCAGAAACTGTCAACCGATTGCCTCGTCTCTTCTGGATTGGAGTAGCACACAAACCAATAAAATTAATATAGATCATGTAATGCAAACGAAAGAATTCTATGCGAAAAAAGATAAGGAAAATGTAACATGCTAAATCATTCTCAAAGATTGTTCATAGCAGTATGTTAGACAGTCCAGCTATCGAATTGCTCAAAAAATTCATGAATACCAACCAGCAGGAAAGTGATATGACGCAACCACCTTAGTTTCAATGCACTCAGATAATCACAATCATAAATTTGACTGAGAAAACGTGAAAATCCTCCAAAAAGAGAAGTTGTAAAAGCATACCATTCCAACTAAAAGTCAGTCAACAGACATGTAATCTACTTCAGCAGAAACCGGGCCATCTATCAACCAACGGCAAATTGACCAGGCAAATCATTAATGAAGTGTAATAACATGGTAAAAGGTAGCACAATCACAGTTTGACGAATATTCTCTACCAGTACCACCGAGTAAAATTTAAGGTCGAAGAGGTCAAAATCTCATCCCTAACTTACAATTGGACAATATCCAAGGTCAAGAAAAATACTATCTTGACATATTCATGTAACAGTCGAATATGTTTCACTTCTGTATGAAGTTAGTGGTAAATATGTCAATAAGTTAACGACAAAATACCAAAGCTCAGATTACATGGGACCATCATCATCCTCGCCCTGAGCAATAAATCTTCTCCATCTCTTCAGGGAATATAACAATATTCATCACCTGGCGTTAATCAACTGGTCAAATGAGGACTAAAATAATGGCAGCATTTAAACAAAGATTTTGTACTACTTACATTTCGATCTATTAGTAATCATTTCTAAAGTGACTGAATCCTTCATTTTATAAAATCAGAGACAGACAACTCAACTCCAGTTGATCTAATTTCTTTAAAAACCGCAGACAGACTGAAAAATTATTCCTTATTTCCCCTTGCTTATTCATACTAAGCGACACTACAGAATACTACAAAAATCAGACGCTATAGAATGAACAATGTGACTGATTTGATGGTACAGCACGAGGAGTTGCATGAATGATTCCATCAGACAATCTAACTCATATTTTATGCATAGAAATATTTATTACCTAAAACTTTCATTAGAACAGTGCTAAGAACACTAGAAGTATTTGTACGGTAAACATTTCTTAGTAGTATTTATTTAAAAAATTTTTCTACAAAAGTTGACTTGAAAAAAATGTTGATACAACTTGTGAACAGCGAGTATAACGTGAAACTAGATAAACAATTAGTGTAGTATGTGTTGCTGATGAGAATGTATGGCGGTAGAAATCATAAGGAATAACCAGCAAATCTCCTTCTCATCCACACGTTCGATACCGTCATATGCCACTTTCAGTCTACCCTCATGGATCCCGGACATCCACCAATTCCGCAACCGACTCGAAGTACCTGAGGAAGACTTTGATGTCTCCAACCCTGAATACAGCAGGCTACGGAATCTTTACCATGTTCAGGCGCAGAGACACCAACTGTAGAGAATGAAAAGACAGAGACATCTTGTACAGTAGTCATTAAATATTGTACACATTCCACTAAGGTAATCATTTGCACAATGTCCTTCATTTCCTCTTCTCCTTCTATTTGCTCTAATTACACCTACATTGACTCTTGCATTTCTCTGAGCAGAATCTTTACCCATTGTTGGTAATTGTCTATGATTTCTGCCGTCCTCTCAATGTATACTATTTATATGCATACTGATTAGCAACACCCACTACATTAGTAGAATTTTATGATCTGATAATTGGGATCAAGTTGGGAGAACAAATAGGTTAGAGATTTTCTCTTTGTGAATAGATCATTTTTATTTGTGAGTTGATCATTAAGAAATGGAAATCTTGACTCAACCTACTTTGTCGTCAAATAATTTATTTCATGTATTTGGATTTCGATAAATTGGCTGACATTAACTAAATATCATCTTACTTCAGGAATGTTCATTAGTTGCTTTATCCGACAGTCAGTTAAATATTTTTAGATTTTCGTGTTTGAAATATTTAAATGACTAGAGCATAGGTTACGTATGCTGATTCGTTCACCTGGATCAATGCACAGTTTCAGTTGAAGTAATAATCGTATAGAAGAACAGAAATCACTACTACACTGTAACAGGACTTCAGTTCCTTATGAGATAATAGAGCCTAACAGAGAATTCTTAGCTTCCCAGTTAATGCCTTAAAGATAATCTGAAAAAAATTAGTCAAAAACTGGTAGATATAATTCAAAGTCAACCACAGCAACCGAAATGTATCATCAGCTAATCTTCAGAAGAGTTGCTTTATCATATATACTGACACTGATGGTTTATTTCAAGTCACCTCCTATAACTCCTCACGACTATCATCATTACTCATGTTACATAACGTCTTGTTTACATCTACCCGACATAAAGTGTAACAATCTGAAACTATGTTAAGTTTCGCCTGTTCAATTACTGTTAATATTTGATACAAGAGATATTATAAAAGAAATGAAACGATGCCTAAATTTGTCATTTTGTTTGAAGACAGCTGAATTATAATGAGCATAAATTAGTAAAATGAAATCCATTTAAAATTATATGTTTAGATACGATGGTACATCTTTCTATCTGTTATAATAACTAGAAAACGACTTGTACTGCTCATATATATGTATATAGTTATCATACGAAAACAATGGTTAAAACTGTTTATTAAGAAATCCTTTAAACATTTCAAAAAACAAATATGTATCACTTAACATTTCAACAGGTCAGCAAAGTTGTAAAATTTGATACAACTTGGTACCTTCAATATATTTAGCAAAGCTATAAAAACACATTGTATAGAATAAGGTATATTCACTCTAATTCATCGCCTTCTTCTCAACTACTTACCACATAATAATTTTACAAGATATATTTTGACAGAAATACAATTCACATAAACTCATTTATCAAGAAGATAACAGTCCACTGATAGGATATTATGCAAGAATTCATACAGATTGAAGAGTTTCAAATGACATAGTTTGTGAATAGTCAAACTGAAGTTATTTTATCCTTAGATAGTGAGATTTTCATCATACTACATGTGATCAATTGAAAAATGGAATAGTGAGTATTACGCAACTGTGTGTGTATGATGAGATAATAATGTAAATATGGGGTCCAAATCTTTTGAATGAGCTGAGCTGATATCAGCTTGAGTCAATTAGTAAACGTGTAGAGATGAAATGATTGTGAAATTGGTTGTAAAAAGGTATGAAAATGTAAAAATTATGAAAAGAGTTATACTAAATTATGAGATAATAATTAATGGATACCATGAAGGTTGAATTCTAACAACTGCCTCTTTTTGAATACAAAACTTCAGTTTAATTCTTCTGATGGCGATTACTTCTGAGAATTTTAATAATTTTTCATTGTTTTGTTTGGTAATTATTTTAAATGTCTTCAAGATTTCGATATCGTGTCCTATATTCATCATATGTTGAAGACAATTTGACTTCTTTAAGCCTAATTTTTTTGGAGTATGTTCATAAAATCTAGTCTCAGCTCTCTTATCTATCCTTCTAGTGTACATGCTCTGACATGTACATGTGAACTGGTTGATGTAATTTGAGTTGACACAAAGAAGAAACCTGTCAATTTTTGATTCTTATTGTGAACACTTTGTTTTGAATAAGAAAAAGTAATTTAACTGCTGTTTAGGTGAATTTTAGTGTAACTCTTACACTTCTATTAACTCTGTTCATAAGTTCATCCTACTTGAAAGTAAGGTGGTGGGACACACTTGTTTCCCCTGTTCTCATTTCAATCTTTTGAGGTAACCATTTTCCTTCAGATATCTCACAATGAAATGAATTTCTTCAGTCAATTCTTTTGATGAACAAAGTTTCTTAGCCCTTTGAAATAACGTTTTAACTAGACCTTATTGGTTAGAAACTGTTGAAATAAAGATACCATCCACGTCGTGTTTCTTTTCTTTAAACAGACATCTAACATGCCCGACTCTTCTTCGTCGAAGTACTAAGACCAAAAAAATGAAATTTATAATTTTTCTTGTGTTCCGCGTTAAAATTATTATTCATATATGCTGACAGAGAAAACTTGTAGCTCAGGAAGAGAATGATGGTGTTTCACTATTCTCTGAGCTTCGATATTTTGTTGTGAGTAGGACAGTTTGACAGATGGTTTATATTTAACACTTTGGTAAGATTTTCCGGCGTAAACATTCGTGTAAGGAGAAAAGCTACTCTCAAGTGGAAGCCTTTCGACCGACAAAGTTCTCCCACTTCCAAGCACACAGAAGCTCTTCGCACTTAAAAGATTTTGAAATAATGAAAAAGATTAATAGTTCAGGACGAGGATGATGGTATGTGTGTGTGTCTTATTAGGTATTTTTACCAATGTTATCGCATGATTCATGTCACTGTATAAAACAAATTTTTAGTCAACATACCTGTTATACATTGTAGTTTGACTTATAGCTGTTGTTAATATAGTTTTTTTCCAAGTTGGCCATCGATAGGTCCCAAAAAACTTCTCATTAACTCTTTATTTATATTATTAACTGATCACACACACTTATGTAATACTCACTATTCCATTTTTTGATTGATCATATGTAGCATGATGAAAATCTCACCATCTAAACATAAAATAACTTCAGTTTGACTATTCACAAACAATGTCATTTGAAACTCTTCAATCTGTATGAATTCTTGCATAATGTCCTATCAGTTGACTGTTATCTTCTTGATAAATGAGTTTATGTGAATTGTATTTCTGTCAAAATATATCTTGTAAAATTATTATGTGGTAAGTAGTTGAGAAGAAGGCGATGAAGTAGAGTGAATATACCTTATTCTATAGAATGTGTTGTTATAGCTTTGCTGAAAGCTGTAAAGACTTGTTCTTATCAACAAATGACTGTATTGACATATTTCACCAGAAGCATTTAAAGACCTGACTAAGCTGTAATAAATATGTTGAGCAATATTACTCATTACTGACTAATTACTGTTTTTCATCGTAGACTGACATCAGTTGGAAGTCTTAAGGAAACCTGGGAGCACTGGACGACTGTTTCGTCCTAGTATGGGATTTCTCAGCAGTGCTCATCCACGAACCTACCTGGGATCGAACCTGAGACCTTCAGGTTCCTAGCTTCGACAGCTATTCCAGAAGTTCTAATAAGGAGTCGTGACCGGTGGGGGCATGGCCTGATGGTCGTGAGGACACTTACTCAGTGATGACATTGGGTGGCGGTTGCGCCATATCGCGAGGTAACAGAAGTTGGAAATATGGACGATTGGATTCTGACCCAGTGGCTAACTTAGTGGTAACGCAGTGGCCACGCAACCTGAGTGTCACGGGTTCGATCTTTGGGGGATGGGGTCCTGGGTGCGCACGGCTGAGGATTCCCATACCAGTCGGACAAAACAACTGTCCAGTGCTCCCAGGTTCCCTTTAATCCTCCAACTGATGTCAGTCTACAATGAATAACAACTTGAAATATTTCCAAATTCCCACAACTTCCTCAAAATTTAATCAATGTATCATCACCTACAACTGAACAAATAATACTAACTGCACTGTAGTATTTACTCAAAGTAACCACATCTGCGAATTAATAACAATTGAAGGATCAACGAATGGAAAATTAAACTACTTGATATTCAGATTTAGATTACAATAAAGTATAAAAGAACCTTACCAATACGTAGAAGTGATACAATCACCAGTGAACCATTAGTAAAAATTTCACAATCAGATTGATTAGACTGCATAAACTGTACAGTTATTAACAATACACCTCGTTCTGCTATCTCCTGAGCAATAGGTTCTTTAAACAGAAAATTTCAACAGCCATAAATGAAATATAGAAATGAGAAAGAAAAATTGAAAAACATAATCATCATGAAGTAAGTAGTGAAAGACTTAAATAACCAGTCTTTTCTGAAGAAATGAAGAATCACATATCTTAAGATACACACAATATAGATGTACATGTTAGACAATTTTATTATAAGCCTTGGAACCTAATAAAACATTTACATGACTATACATGAATGATAAACTCAGTAAAAAAATAAATATTCATTGTATTGTCCCCTCATTGATTGGACAGAATTCGATTGGCCAACAGTGTCATCTAGGTTCCTGAACGAATATTTCAACATTACTGGTACATTCTTTTTGACAGCAATGATGTACACTTGCTAGTAGGCTAATCCATGATTCCTATTTCATCCTATTCAAGACTTACAATATGGATGCAGTATCCTTCTTGTGATGGATATGGTTCCTATTGAAACTTGAATTTTGCAATTAATACTTCAAATGCCAGAGTATTATTTACTGGGACACTAAGTTATGGTAGCCACTGTTTTTTACGACTGGTAGAGGCAATAACGAAGGAATGGCTAGTTAGCTTTTATCTAGTATTCACAGTGTTTAAGCATATACATGATAACTTAGTTTCAGTTTTTCTGTAGGAATGATTCTGTATTGTCGAATTCTTAACAAAGATCAGTTCGTAAATTGCAGTTTCAATTGACTGTATACACATTTGTTTGTAGTTGAGATCAGGTCAAGCTATGTTTTCTTCTTTCATTTCTCTTCAGAAAATTTAGACTTTCTTGTTATGTGAAGAGATTTTGCTATGAGACGTTCCTTATAAACTCCACAGACTATTTAAATAATTTTGTTATGATCAAAGTCAATTTTGTAACCTTTAATAATAGTATGTAGCGCTGTGGTTGAAGTGTTTTCAATCTTTTTCAGCTGGTTGCTAGATTTTTAGAGGTTCATGTGGAAGTCCTTCGATTTCACAGATTGCCTCACAGTCTATGTGTATTATTGTATAAACAGAAGCAGATTAAGAGTCTTCATGAACATTATCTTTCAAATGGATTCAAGTGGTCTGAAGTCTGTTTGATGCTCTGCAAGACATTCTGATATTACACTTGTGTTGAGCAATTTTCTAATCCCCTCTTAGGTGTGTAACTTGTATGGCATGACATTTTTATGGCCAATGATTTAAGAGTGTTTTCTATATTTTGTAAATGAATACAGCTGGATAAGTATTCATTTTAAGGATTTCGGTCATATTCGTTAAATCCTTGTCTTTTTCATTGTGCCCGTTATCAGAGTGTGTGGAAGCTACAGACACCTTTGCACTGGTTTGAAGTTATGAATTGAAATCTAAATATTTCTTCGACTGTATTGCCGTTTTGAAACTAGTCACGTCTTCTTTCCCGCCTAATTAACCAATCAAAGAAGGGTAGTTCACCCTTATACGTTTATTTTTTGTATCTGTACCTAATATTCATAGATCTAGTATTCAACTGGTCTACGAATACATCGTACATATCATATTTTAAAACTACGAACGTGACATCAGCATATCTAGCTTAGCAATTAATCTTCAAGAAAAATGTTTGATGCTTTGATGATGATCTTGTCTAATATTACAATGTTATCTCCATGACACCATCTACTAGTCAAGAAAATGTAATATTACTCAAAAATCTACTTCATGATGATGAGCTGTAAACAAAAACGCTACTATTTCATTTCATGTACTTATTTGCAGCAAATGTTCACCTTACTATGGAATATTACAGTCTCAAATGAACTCTAACAATATTATTTGAGGAAATAAGTTTATCCATAGTTTGATATTGGTCATAAATCTTTCTACAGATTATATTATGTTTCTGAACGCTTTGAAAGGTAATTCAGTTCCTTAAAGTATGTATCATAGATATGATGTTGGATAATGTGAGTCATTCGACAGGAAGCTTTAATCCACCTATATTTCATGCTTGTTGGTACTTATCAGAAAGGTGTGTCTGCAATCTCGAAGGTAGTGATTTTCTTTATAACATTTACAATTGTGTTACTCAGTGCTGAAATCAGGGAAGTTACCAGTTACCAGCAGCATGAATCTCGATAAGTATTATATGAGTAGTAAAATAATCGTTGAAAACACAATACTTGATAATTTCCATAATTTAGTACTACTCATCTGGAATCAATCGATAGGAATTCTTGCTTCATTTAGATCTTAACAAGGAATCTTCACAGCTTTAGGGAAAGTTATTATTTTTTGGAGCTTGAAAGACGTGTCACATCGGTAATGAAGTTAAGGACTTTTTAACTGACCTACGAACGTTATGATTAACTCCAATAAGGCTTAACTGAATACAGGAACTGTCTAGTTGATGATAAAATAAAATAAATAAAAATAAAATAAATAAAATAAATAAAATAAAATAAAATAAAATAAAATAATCGAAAGATGTCTTTTATACTGATTGACTGATATCAATGAAATTTGAGGAAATGGTTCTTACATCAATACTGACAGCCTAATTATGATAGAAGACATTTTTTTTTTAGATAGATAAATCAACTCAGTTTGCTAACTACAGATAGTTTGAAGAATCTCTCTTGGAATAATTTGACTAGATAATCAAAATTACAGCCACTTAAAATATGCAGAATAGTTAAAGCTACTTTAAACTGTTGGGTAGGAAAAACAAATTTAAAAAATGCATCCAAATTCCCCACAGATATCCATATTAAGGCTTTGAAAGAAAAATACTCCGCGACAAGTTCGTTATTAATCATAACTTCGTAAATTTGAAAAGCATATTCCAAAAACAAAATAACATTACTCACTCGGGTGCAGGTGCATCTGACTGACGTGTCCCAAATAGGACGAAATGCAAGTCCTAAATTCCCCTGCTAGTCACCAAAATCAATATCACCTTATGAATATCTGGCAGTATCGAGGCATCTGCGTAGGAATCCATCTGCCAACAATTCGACCCTACCTAGCAGCAGGAATTTACAAAGTATGATTACAACAACTAATACCCGTTGAATAAGAGGTGGCTATCTTGCCGCACTGGCTTAGCGGATAACGCTTTGTCGTTTGAAGTGAAGGGCACTGGGTTCGAGCCCCGGTGGGAACAACATCACTCCTCGCTGAGGTGCAAGTACATCCAGCTGATGAGTCCCTAATAAGATGAAACGGGCAGTGGTTGACATATCCTGGTTGCAAACACCATAGTAGGTTACTTCTTCTTGGGGTTGGTAATACTGGTAAGTCACTGCAGATAACAAAAAGCATCCACTTAACGGTGGTCACATAGGGTCTTTTTGGAAGTTTGAGGTTTCAATAAAATCCAAAGTTCCCAGCTGGATTCTGTAGTTGACATGGTTCAGAAATGATCTCAGCGGAGCAGATGTATTCATATATTTTCTGAATCATAATTATCATACTACATATCACTGTTGTCTCATTTCTGTCGCCTCTCTTCTCACTACTTTCTACCAATTTAGACTACTTTCCTCTTATTTATTTATTTTTTTTATCTTGCTGCATTTTAGTTAGTGAGCTAACATGAAGTGTGGAAACTTGGACAGTTAAACAATAATGCCAGCTCCTTTGTTGTTAATATCTATCGTTCAATTTTTATTGAATTGTAATGATTTTTAACCAATTAACAGCTTCCTGAATAAAGTCTTTCTTAAGATAGGCATGTAATTACGATTTGTTTTCAGTCACTTTATACAACGAATATTGACTATATTCAACTACATCTAAAACATAAGTATCCAGTGTCTAATATGATGCATGTACAATCCTCATTGGATAACAGAGATTCCAAGAATGAAGTGAGCAGTATGTTTAATCACTGTACTATGTATCATTATCCTACGTGGTTTGATGACCGGAGATGGCTTAAATCTTACATTTAATATTGCTTGTAAAGTATGCCTGCAATTGACTAACATTCATTGATGAGTGATAAATAATTCACTGAGAAAAACACATTTGATATGAGTATAAAGCAAATAAGACAATATGTGCTTGATGATGGTTAGCAGGGGAATCCGAAAAAGTACAACCATTCAAATATGCAGTATACTGGACAGCTGCCTGATGTTGCCACGGGACTTGTTAGTAGTATGCACTGACGATGTCATCATGAAGCGAACCTGAAATAGTCAGTTTTCGCCGTAAGCATAAAACCATCTAACTATTTGGGTTAAAATCCATTTCATACTGATATTCATTCGTAATGTCGTCCAACCTGATTTCCAACACTAATATTATTATTATTATTTGTCCCTTAAGTTCTTTGTGGAACATACGGCTTCAGTAGCACGTCTCCATTTCACACTCTCTTCTCTGCATTCTTTTGAACCTCTCTCCACGACGGCGCATAAGCTCTCATTTCTTCCTCATACGATCTCCTTCATGTCACACTCGGACGCCCAACTCGTCGTTTCCCATCTGGGTTCCACTCGAGCAACTGGTCTGGCGCGTAATGTCCCCAAATAGTTAACTAATTCACTACTTACTAACCAGTCCTAAGCAAGGGTAAAGAGGGAAGGTTGGGCATACGCCTAGCAACCCTACCCCAGAAAACCAATCCAACCACTACAGAAACTTCAAAGCATAAACAAAATATAAAAAGTAAAAAACAAACTTATTCCCCACTGGAATCGGAAAGATGCCGGTTGGTGAAAGCCTTCAAGAAGCTAACTGGCTGATGTATCTTCTCTTGATGAAAGTCGACATGAAATGTCCGCATTATGTTTGATTTTCAACACTTGAGACTAACTTATTGGTTAAAACCTTTGAAGTTATCTAAATATCCATTAATGTGTATTTATAATCTTTGCAAAAGGTAACAATCTACCCTTGGAATAGAAGTTAAAAAAAACTTACCGTAAATACAAAATTTCCATAGGTAATGCATTGCTATTTTAATGAGATCTTTAGAAGAAGAATTCAACATTTCTAAAATATGATAAGATAAATTAATTTTTTGAAGTTTTTTAAATATATTCTTGTATATTTTTAAATAATTCTGTATCATATTCATATTGATAGTGAAATGTTTAGGATAAATAAGTTGATAGAGAAATTTTAATCCTAAATTTTGTATAGTTAAATGATGAAGATATTTCTTCATAATTAATAAAACAGTATTTAAATCATTTATCTTCCAAATATTGTTTTCATTTGATGAAATATTTGACAATTTAACAGTATCATCAATGTAGAAATATTGTGTTTCAGTTAAAAAACCCTCGATTTGTTCAGTTTCAACAATATAAACTAGTATAGTTAAACAATAGATAACAATTGACACATTGAACTGATGTAAACTCATTATTTGAAATAATAGAAATAGTAATTCAGATGATAGTTTAACATTTTTATCCATATTAATGTATTCAGTAAACCAATATAAAGCTTTTTGTACACAATTTTCATGTTTCCAATTGGTAGTAAGATATATCAATTTAACTTCCATAGAATCATTGATTGGAAATGGTCCTTAATTGAACAAAGAATATGATAGAATAATTATTGACGATAAGTAAAAAAAAATATTTATAGGCATTTACTATAAAGTAGTTCAACATGGATCCACTTGTAAAAGCATTAAAACACCTGGAAGTACCGAACAGTTGTGTCGTACCCACTATCCTACCAGTGACAAAACCCTTCACCATTAGGTGCCACAGTACATGGTAATGAGAAGTCCTATACTAAGCGGAGAAAACTATCCAGTGTTTTCAGGTTTTTAATAGTCTTTTAACTAATATAAGTCTGTAATGAATACTGCCTTGGAAGTTAGCACTGAATATAGAAATATGACATTGGCTATAACTACTACTAATCTCAACCAGTTGTGAATACATTGAATTCAAGCTGGAATAGATCCATTAAATAATTAGTATTCAATGAATCTTGCATTTCAAGAACACACTTAGCGAAACAGATTTGTTTCAAGTTGTTATTCATCGTAGACTGACATCAGCTGGAGGAACAAAGGAAACCTGGGAGCACTGGACAGCTGTTTTGTCCGACTAGTATGGGACTCCTCAGCAGTGCGCACCCATGACCCCGCCCTCCGGGGATCGAACTCGCAACCTTCAGGTCCCGCGACCAGCACGTTACCATTGAGCTAGCTACTGGGTCAGAATCCAATGCTCCATATTTCCAACTTCCGTCAGCTCACGATCTAAACAGAAACAGAGATCACAGCAATCAATAGCAAATTAATTTCATTCCTTCATAACTTACTCATTCTAAACATTGACTAGAAGATTAAGTCCCTTATCAGACAACAAAACTTGAGTCATAGTCTTTCACTACAACTGTCGAATCGCATGTTGACCTTTTATTCTTGTAAACAGGGTTATTGGTTTCAGGTAGATGTTGATCATGAATCAATATCAATTGGAGAACCATTGGAAACGTATGAGAAATGGAGAGCTGTTTCGTCCAAGCATGGGAAGCTTCAGTAGAGCGCACGCTACACCGCATCAGGGATAGAACCCATGACTTTCAGACTCTACGGATATCATGCTCCCATTGAGCTAGTGAGTCACTATTCAATGGTTCATGTTTCCTACATCTGTCAGCTCACAACATAGCCCGACCTCCATCCAATGCTGTTGTTAGATAACTAATCTCACCGGCCACCGGTGCTAGCCACCGCCCATCATTATTATACATAGTTAAAAGACAGTCAATATCAAGGCATCTGCATAGGAGACTATATACCAACAGAGATTGATCAGTTCGGTCCAGTCAACGATGGTGAAATACAAGCAATAACACTAAATAAAAATAAATTTCACCAACACACTTCCTTCTTCACATTGTGCATTAAAGATAGTGTACTTATGCCGTTGATATCCTTTTCACTGTCTTTCTCATGTCTTTACTCAATCAATTTCCGAAAGAAAATCAGCAATTTCTGAAAAGGCTTATTATGACTCCAATCTAATTTCATCTATGCTTGAAAATGAACTATATATTTATACCTTGTCATATCGCTTATCCAACTTCAGTTTAGGAGGTGCATCAATGATTTACATCTCAGCAAAATAAGTGTTAATGAGATAATAGTATCAAAACCTGTATTATTCTTATTTATTAAGATGCAGTCACTTTAAATGGATCCTTGATTTTGTATGAAAGTCGATCAAATATATAGAAATCGGCTAAGAAAAATATTTTTGATCTTCGCTATGAATTAGTAAGTATAAACTGTATACTCAAATCACACTTCAACCAACAGCTTCCTAGAAACAACAGATAGACACTATTGGAAGCGTATTGGCGGTTGATACATTCCAGCTGCCCACACTGTATAACGTTATTTCTTTTTGAGGCACCTGAAACAGAAGATGAATTCTATGCCTAAAAGATCATGAGACATCCCGTTAAAACTTGTCATATACAGACTCCTGAGGAAGGACGCTTTGAGACCTGATTATGAAGACGCCGAACAGAGCAAATCTATATCGCTCATGTCAGAAGACCGTGCGGTGTGTGGGAAAAAGGGCGACATTTCGAGGTCACAAGCTTCAAACTGGAAAGGTCTCACGGAAAATAACTAAATAACTAACCACATAGTTGAATGAAACATCAGTCACAAAAATAATCAAATTATGTATCAAAAATTATAAAGAAAAGTGTATTTATTATTTACTGATACTCATAATGCCTCGGTGTTATACTACATGAAACCAATTGACCACTGCTGGTATATCAATCCCTGCCCAAATGCCTAAACATTCCTTGAATATTCATCCTTATCATTTCCTCGTGGTATCTGCAATGGAATCCAGAAACGACATCTCATCCTATTTCAGACTTGTCTGCTACATGTACTCTCAACCCAGTCTCGAGTCCTAAATAACACGAAACGCTCATCCAGGGTCCCATAGATAGCCACCGCAAAGTAAGTTATGAAAAGTGTATTCCTTCTAAATTATCTTCCCAATTTGAAGGTAGTATTTATCACAGATTAGCAACATCCACAGAATCATCAATATAATTTAGATAATAATGATGGATGGTGACGATCAGTGGAATGCAGGATGCACGTTTCCTCCTATTCCGGACTCGTCAGTTGGATCTGCCTGCCTCCCAGTGAGCAACATTTTCCCCGGTAGAGCACAAACCACTACCCATCAACACCAGACGCCAGAGTGTTATCCACTGGACCAGTGAATCATGATGGACAACTCTAGATCAACACATATACTTCATATGATGTCGCCTGTATTATCTCATCGTTGATTAGTTCCAAATAATCCGTCTCTATTGGCTACTTACTTTGCATCATTAGTGTCCAAATTGAAAATACAGGCAACACTCAGTTAGCAGCACAGGAACCCATATGACAACATAGATCGATCAATTCAGTCCTGTCAACAACGTGGTAATACAGGCAAGATCATACATGAATCCAATTGAATAAACAACATCACTCATCGGTTTACGGAGACGAATTTCAACCAATGGGTCTCAGGTTCAAGCACGTCTCCACCTACCGAGATTTGGTGGGTATCGCTCGTTACCTACTGCAGGAATGTGCACAAGGTTGCTGAGTGCAGTTCGCCATTCGAATCAGAACCATTAATACATATGTAGACAAACACTAATTATTATCAAGTATTATATACATCTGATATCACCCAGATTTCATTTTCCCCTATAAAACTAAGAGAATCTCCATTCATCTTTCGTTTATCAACATTTCCTACCAACTTCTCATCTTCGAGATTCGATTTTATCAAGAAAATTATCCTCAGGAGAATGAAATCTAATATATCCATAAATGTATCGCCTGATAAATAAGCAGACAGAAAAGACAAAAATATAATCGGAAATCATGTGTAAGTGGCGACAAAGTAATTTCCTGATCAAACATATCTGGATATGTATCACATGTGTGTATGCATCTTCCATAAGTTACGTAATTGTGAACTTTATCTATTCCTCCACCACAATGGTCTGCATACTTTCTCGAATATGTCGAATAAGCCTATGTTTATTATTATCACTAGTGTTATTATTATTATTATTATTACCCTTGGGTTCCTAGTGGAACATACAGCTTCAGCAGCACACCTCCATTACACTCACTTCCCTGTAGTCTTTTCAACCTCACTCCACGACTACCCACAAGATCCCATTTCCTCCTCACATGATCTCCTCCATGTCACACTCGCCTCAGACACCCAACTCGTCGTTTCCCATCTGGGTTCCACTCGAGCAACTGGCCTGGTGCGTGATATCTCAGAATGGTCTACTCACTGTATGCCCAATCGAATCCATCTCCACTTCCTTCCAGTGCATATTTGTTGAACAATAGATTCTTGCTTCGTTGGTTGGTTGTTTGGCAGGCAGAGTTCCTACTTGCTTATTCTTTCTGGCCATCTGATCTAATCTTCAGTTTCGAGTGAGTGTAGGGTGCAGCTGTTGATTTGATAAGTGTCTGTAGTTTGTTGGAAGTGCTTTTCGTGTCGTGACACGCCAAGTCTCTCAACCATCACGTAGAAGCACTGACTTACTTGACTGAATTGGTGTTGAAAATCCGGATGTTGTTGACGCTTTATGCTGAGTGTAGTAGATCTCCACACTGATTTCAGATTATTGCAGGAAGGTCTGTATTGCTTTTTTGATCGTGGCTGCTTTGACATCCTCATCTGTGCCTATGTCGCCTGTAGTTGAAACGATGCTGTTTAGGTTGATGGGTAGGTGAGAGAGACTACTTCCTTTGAATTTCTCCCATTGATGGTGACTGGTGCTTGTTGTTGATGCTGTTGTTGGTTGGGTATCTTCATCACCTCCGCAAAAAATATCTGGGCGTGTATTACATATTTTTATGCATCGTCCATAAGTTACATAACTGTAATCTTTATCAATTCCTCCAGCACAATGGTCTGCATAGTTTCTAGAATTTGTCGAATAAGCTTTATGTATGTGAATTTTTAATATATCAGAAATGTCAGTCACTGATAACTTGAGAGTTTGATACGTTATCGCGATATTTTTTACATGGATACACTTTTCTGTGTGTTTGTTTATTAATATATCGGATTATTTTCTTTGCTTTTCCTGATAGATTTTATTAACTCATATCATTCTAAAAATGATTTTTACTTATTCTCTGTATTGGTTGATACAATATTCCTGATTTAATAGTTTGCTCATTGTCAGTAATTTTTAAAGTCACTTTGGCGTTGACTATCTGGCCATATGATTAACAGATCAAAATACTAAACGGTAGTGGTAACTATTATTAATGTTCTATGCCTTGATCCGACAACCAGTAACGTCACATTGTTTAACTCTAAGTCAAGACAAGGGCGGCATTAAATGTCAATTTAGCAATGATCAAAATACCCAATTAGGTTTCTCAATTTCGGTTGGAGAGGCAGATTTTCACAAAGTACTGAAGTTTAATTGGTTATTTTAGTTGTTGCTGCGGTATCCCTTTAAATCGTTTCAAGACAAAGGTTGATCACTAG